GAGAATAAAAGTTACGCCTTCTTTCTTTGCGTGAACATTTGGGCGGCGTTATGCAAATTTTCCCAGATCGTGACGTAGGTATGTGGGGGTGTGTTAGAACGAGCCGTTTTAGGTAGGTGTGGCTGACTCTAACTTTTATAAAGAATATCTCTTTGGATTTGAGACTTTAGTCTTTGCAACTTTGCAACTCTGAAGAACAGATCTTCTTTATGCACCAAGAGCTTGTAACACTCCAAAGAGAAAGGAAAAATTGAAATCGCATCATATGACCCCTTTCATTTAAATGTGTTCATTTTAATGTTGAATAAACACATTCAGAACACTTAAAATACTGACCTTCAGTGAACTGCAGTACTTTTTCAGAAAAATCCTCCTTTTTGTAATTGATTTCTTTTTTGGTGATTGATGAACTTTTCAGGACTCCCTGCCGTTACTACTTGAATCGCACGACTCAAGCGAACCAGCTGAATGGCAGCAGTGCCGAATCCACTCGCTCCAGCATGAATCAATACAGTCTCATTCGGCTTCACTTTGGCTATAAAAGACAGCAGCATATAGAAATATAATGGTCTTAAAATGCATTTGAACACTTAAAGGAATAGGTCACCCAAAAATGAAAGTTTGTTGAAAATTTACTCACCCTCAGGCCAACCAAGATGTAGAGGAGTTTCTTAATCAGAACAGATTTGGAGAAATGTAGCATTACATCACTTGCTCACCAATGAAAGTGAATGGGTGCCATCAGAATGAGAGTTCAAACAGAAAAATTAAAAACATCACAATAATCCACAAGTAATCCACACACCACTCCAGTCCAGCAATTAATGTCTTGAGAAGTGAGAAGTTGTGTGTTTGTAAGAAACAAATCCATCATTAGGTTTTTTTAACTTTAAACCATTGCCTCTGTCCAAAATACAAGTCTATACTCCATAATATGGCTTCCTCCAGTGAAAAAGTCCATCCCCTGTTGTTCTCTCACATTAAAATCCACCAGCATTTGTTTTGGACTGTTTTCACTTGTAAACGGTGCTTAGTCTTTGCATATTTTTCTCCTGATTCAGACGAGATTACTTTTTCAATGGAGAAAGCAATATTATAGATAGAGGACTCATATTTTAGCTGGAAGCAATGGCTTGAAGTAAAAAATGTCTTAATGATGGATTTGTTTCTTACAAACAAACCGCTTCTCACTTCTCAAGACAATAATTGCTGGACTGGAGAGGAGTGAGGATTACTTGTGGATTATTGTGATGTTTTTATCAGCTTTTTGTACTCTCATTCTGATGGCACCCATTCACATTCATTGGTGAGCAAGTGATGTAATGCTAAATTTTGTCTACGTCTACATCTTAGATTGCCTGAGGGTGAGTAACTTTAAAGCTCATTTTAATTTTTGGTTAAAAAGTCACATTTAAAGATAATAAAACACTGATGTTATGTTACCTGAAGTGCAAAAGTTGGTAGGCAGTCACCCAGGCCTCAGGAAGAGCTGCGGCTTGATAAAGAGTGAACACTTAAACTATAATTAAAATAGGCCACTTTCATGTTTATGTGTCAAACATTTAACACTTCCTGCGAGAGAAAACAGCAACAAACTCAAATTAGAGTAATTTTAAATTAACCTCACCTCAACAAAACACTCGAAGTTTTGATGTTGTGAATGTTGTTTACTGGCCGTTGGTCGTTCGCATGTCTAAACTGCGGTGAAATGAAACAATGGAAATAATGCAGCAGTACCTCCCCCCAAAATACCATGGTAATCATAAAAAAATACCATAATTAGCATAGTACAACCACATTCTAAAAAGAACAAAACATTCTGAAACTTCTTAGTTTGAAGAAGATCCTATTAATTTACGGTTTTGTAGTTGTAATACTCCTACAGCAGAGATAACTGCAGTAACTACATGTGATTTTAGTGAAAACTAGTTATATGGAGCATAGGGTTAAATTTACTCAAAACTCAAAAAATACACAAATAATGTCCAGCTTGACATGATCTTCATAATCTGTTGGGATCTCGAAAACAGCTAAATTATAGGGTGAACTAATTGTAAAAACATTATTTAATACCATATAATATTCTATTTAACTATATCCATCCAGTCTCCAAATTGCTTGGCTAGAGGATATTATATAATACTGATTTGTAACACTAATAATAATAATTTCATCCCCGTCACTGCAAACGCAGACAAGGAACACACTGGGGGAAAATACAATCAAATAAATAAAAATACAATAAAACACTTACAAACAACTGACGTGTACAGCTGTAGTACATGCAGAGATTAGAGAATCTTACTCGGAGACACCAAACTACTGAAATGTGAAATCTTGCTATAATATATTTTCATAAAAATGGAAATGCAAAGGAGTTGTGAGCTATTCAAAATTCAGTTCAACCTTCCATCTTTACTTTGTTATTATAGACACAATAGTGATCATGTGACCAAATTACTTTGAAATTCAAAACCCTAAAAGCTGACAGAATGAAAGACATTGTTTATATGTTTAAGTGTCATAGCAGCAGATTCTTCATCTACATGCTCATACAAGACGACAAACCATACGCAGCAGTTTCAGGTACAGTAAATTTACATTTATTATGTATACACAATGTACATATTTGTGTAAAATAACTTCATTGGGGTCCAAATGTCTGAAGCTTCTGAGACTTTTGGTCTCCGCTGTATGTGTGTATATGAGCAGACACTGTGTTTTTAAAATAAATTGAGCTTGGAACAATCTACATCTGTGTGCTTAACCAAAAACTGGTTGTCTGTTCCATTTATTTGTTTCAAGGGAACATCTCAAAATGTCAACACAGCTAAGCATTAAGAGACCCAAGTCTTGCCGTCACATGGACGTAAGACTGCTGAACCACAAAGAGGACGTCCATCTTCAGTGGAAACTACACAACATCAGCGCCAAATACAGACTCAACCTCAGGCTGCTGGAGCAGGAGCGAGAGCTAGTGCTAAAAGAGCACAAACGGCTGCTTAATTTAAGGGTTTGCGAACCGCACGCGACCATAAACAAAACAATGACGGCCATATCAGAGGTCAGGATGACAAACGATGCACACAAGACACGATTTTCAAAATCCGCTCCAGCTTTCAGACCTCTATCCTCGGTGAAAGCGTGTAAGGATGACAGAGAACAGAGGTTTGCTAAATCAGCATCATTCTCTGTCAAGCAAGTCGATTCTTCTTCATCTATGATAGTCACAGAGAAATTCAAAGCTTCAGAAAACGGTCAGCTTTCCATTCTACAGCTGAAAGACCTGGCGTTGATCGACAGCATCTCTCAGAAAGAGCTGATGTATCAGGAAGAGTATTATCGACGGTATAAAGAAAGACTGAAACAACTGCAGAGAGAAAAACTACAACAGAAAATAAGGAGCTTTCTCAACTCTATAGAGCATTTGACAATGTATGTATGAACATTTGTGTGCTTTTAAGAGAATTTTGAACTGATGAATCATGCTAAATAGTTGTTTGTTTCCTCAGTTCTCTTAAGTTACGTGTGATTCACCTCTGAATGTAAAGCTCTGTGCATCTCTCAGGTCATATGAGCCCAATGGTAGAGCTGTCTGGTTTTAACTGCACTGTAACAGGACATTATTTACATTAAGGCGTTAATTTTGTCACATTCGTTAAGCGATGCTTCCCATCCTCCTCATGGTCAGGAGAGCTGTATGAGCTGGAGACTCCAGGAGCAACGACTGGTTTTTCTTCCACTGTGGAGATTCTGAAAGTGTTTTATCTACAAGAATAAATGCAAATAAACCCAAATTAACTTGATACTAATTATTTTTCAAATCTTTTAGAGCTGTCTGGTTTTAACTGCACTGTAACAGGATATTATTTACATTAAGGCGTTAATTTTGTCACATTCATTAAGCGATGCTTCCCATCCTCCTCATGGTCAGGAGAGCTGTATGAGCTGGAGACTCCAGGAGCAACGACTGGTTTTTCTTCCACTGTGGAGATTCTGAAAGTGTTTTATCTACAAGAATAAATGCAAATAAACCCAAATTAACTTGATACTAATTATTTTTCAAATCTTTAAATAAAGATAAATCAAGTGCCTGCTTTGATTACACTGTTGCCCTCATTCCCAAATGAACATCAGTAAGAACACATACATTAAATGACAGTAACAATAACCAGGATTTTATGATCTTAATTCAATTTTTTCCCACATTTTTTAATAGTTACTGCATAGTTTAACTGAAATACAGCTGATAAAGATGCTATGTAATCTCACACTTCACTCTAGCCCATATAAGAATAATATCCATTCAATATTATTTACCACTTAATGGGAGATTTTACTGAAAATAATTTCATATTTAAGGGATAATTCACTCAAAAATGGAAATTCTGTCATCATTTACTCACCCTCACGACATTCCGAACCCAATTATTCTAAATTAAGAAATTAAAGGGGTCATATGACGTTGCTAAAAATTATTTTGTGTATTTGGTGTAATGAAATGTGTTTATGCGGTTTAATGTTAAAAAAACACATTATTTTCCACATACTGTACATTATTGTTTCTCCTCTATGCCCCGCCTTTCTGAAACGTGTCGATTTTTACAAAGCTCATCGGTCTGAAAATATGACCCCTTTAAGATATTTTTAACAAAACCTGAGAAAAAAAGTCCAGGTACCCAAAACGTAGAAGATCCAAAAAGGTCATAAAATTAAACCACAGGAAGCATGGCAAAACACATTATATAAAGCGATTGAATCTCTTCACAACACTTGGATTAAAACCCTTGATTCAAATGGATTCCTTTTATGATGTCTTTCTGACCTTTATATAAAGGAATAGAAAACTCATTACGTCCTTTTTTTTGGAGGGACAGAGCCTCTCAGATTTCATTAAAAATATCTTAAAGGCACAATATGTAATTTTCGCAGCTGGAGGGCGCGCATTCAAAATAAACAAAGAAGCAAAGGCGTAGTTTGATGACGCGTGACTGAGTGTGGAATCATGGGAGTTGTGGTCTTCATCCCCACAGCCGAAGCAATCCGACGGGACTCGGGCAGAAATCATGTTCATGGATGAGCTAATGATTTATTAACGTAGTAGAATGAAGCAGGGTGAGGCTGAAAGCCGTCGAAGCGAAACGAGGCCGCTGAACGAGCGTGACACACGGCTCGAAAGCAGCGGAGCTTTTATTATGCCACAGTCGACCGCTTCCGCTGCTTCCGGTGGTGTGTATGTGGGGTAAAGCAGCGGAGCTTTTATTATGCCACAGTCGAGCGCTTCCGCTGCTTCCGGTCGTGTGTATGTGTAAACATTCTTCGAAACATTTGGGATAATGTAAGTACACAAGTCAGCAAAATATATAACACTGTTCTAGTGGTTTTTGAATAACTAGTGGTAGTAAAAAAATCGTACATATTGTGCCTTTAATTCGTGTTTCGTAGATTAAATAAAGTTACAGGTCTGGAACGACATGAGGATGAGTAAATGATGACAGAGCTTTAATTTGTAGGTGAACTGTGGCTTTAATTCATTCATATTAATTTGTTCTGTTATATCTGCATCTATTTTACCCAATCGACTTACTTTGCATTCAAGCTATACATTTTTTTGTCAGGTCTTGCACTTGAACTTATGACCTTGCTGTTGCAAGCTCTATGCTCTACTGTTTGAGATACAGGAATGTTCTTTTCCAAATGAGAAATAGTAAGCGAGGGGTGGAGCTTATCCAGGATCAGTTCAACTGTGATGTGCCATACCTTCACACTCGATGCTAACCCGGGTTGGTAGACATTGTGTGAGATCGCCGTACTCCAGTGTGCACAGAACAGCTTTGGGAGTCTCGCCTTGTGCTGTACACATGAGCACAAGAATATTGCACAACTGATTGCTCTCCATAACCTCCACCGAACCAACGAGCTCCTGTGGCAAAGATAAGAAAGACTTATTTTCAGCAAGGATGCATTAAATTGATAAAAAGTGATAAAGACATCGCTGAATATTTCTCTTTCAAATAAATGTTGTTCTTTTGAGCTTTCTACTTATCAAAGAATCCTAAAAATATATCTATCTTGGTTTCCACAAAAATAGGAAGCAGCACAACTGTTTTCAACATGGATAATAACAAGAAATGGTTCTTGAGCAGCAATTCAGCATGTTAGAATGATTTCTGAAGGATCATGTGACACTGAAGACTGAAGTAATGATGTCTTGCATCACAGGAATAAATTATATTTTAAAATATATTCAAATAGAAAACGGTTATTTTAAATTGTAATAATATTTCACAACATTACTGTTTTTACTGTATTTTAGATCAAATAAATGCAGCCTAGTATTTACAGTGACTGCAGGAAGCCTGAATACCTTGAGGAGGTAGACCTGCTGTCTGCGACCAGCTAAAGCGTTGAGTTTCTGGCTGAGGGTTTGCAGGAAGCCTTTAAGGTCTTTCTGCAGGATCTGTTTGGCAATACTCTCGAGCGGGAATGACGGGGGGATGTTATGGCGAGAGATCTGCACGGTGCGCGTCAGGTCCAGCTCCATGTTATACGTCTCCAAATACACACCCTCAAAGGCTGTGTGAAAAGACACACACACGCTTTTCCCTTCCTTACACTCCACCAAATCATAGCCACCTGAGAAAGACAGCACAATCAATCAGGCCTAAAACAGAGGCAATGACCTGGTCGTGAACTTAATATGATTTAGTTGGTACAAAATTACCAATTAAGTGATGAGCACGCTGAAGGTCTTTCAACTGCATTCTCCAAGCAGTTAACAAAGACTTCTGTAGTTCAATGAAGCCGCCTGCAGCATCAGCATTATCCAAAGGAAGATCTTTGCTGATTTTATCTTTCAGGATCTGCCGTGCAATGTGAATAAGCAGATAATAAAGCTCATACACATTTAGAGTAAGAATTATGAATAGTAGTGCTACTCTGCACCTATATAAAGACACTGGATTTTTACATTATCGTGTCAATGAGAAAGTTAGATATTATATAAATGTCTCTTTACCATTTCAAAACCCGTCTCACCTTGACAGCGTCTGCCTGATGTTTGAGTTGATCTCTTTGGGCACGGAGGGTCACGGCTCTGACCTTGAGCATCTCTAACCTCTGAGACTCATGCTGGTCCTGCTGTCCCATACCTCCCCTCTCTAAAGCCATCAGGTGACCCAGAACACCTGACATATCATATAACATAATCACAGTATGCTTAAAAAAAAAACAGAGTATGTGAAAATACACTTACACTACCAAACATTTGGACACAGCTACACATTCTTTATTAGGAATAATTTTCACATAGTGGAATAATTGTAAAGTAATCAAAACTTTAATAATAATAATAATAATAGCTTGTTATTGTGACTCCCCTTAGATTTCATATTTTAATAAAGGAAAGTGAAACGAGTTTAAAGGAATAGTTCACCCAAAAATGCAGTGAATAGGTGCCATCAGAACGCGTTATTATGGATTACAGACTAGTATTTTGGCGCAATGATTTAAAGTTAAAAACATCCTGATGATGGATTTGTTTCTTACAAACACACAGCTTTTCACTTCACAAGATGTTAACTGATGGACTGGAGTGGTGTGGATTACTTGTGGATTATTGTGATGTTTTTATCAGCTGTTTGGACTCTCATTCTGACGGCACCCATTCACTGCAGAGCATCCATTGCTGAGCAAGTGATGCAATGCTACATTTCTCCAAATCTGTTCTGATGAAGTATCAAACTCATTTACATTTTGGACGGCCTGAGGGCGAGTAAATTTTAAACAATTTTCTTTTTGGTGAACTATTCCTTTAAAATAATAGTACAATGGTATACTTTTATAGGTTATTATGAATAATAGAAGTCGTTGATGTCTGAATAAAGAATATATCTATGTATTAATTAATTCTATTTTAATTGGATAAACTGACTGAATTGAATGTAAAGCAAGTGATATAGTTTGATTGTATACTGTAGTGCTACTCAGTTATTATTTCGGTATTGCAAATTAACGTTGTGTGCACTTTAATATATTTAGTTTGTTGTTGTTGTTGAGTTAAATTTTCTCTTGTAATGTCCAACTATATGTTCTGTCGGTGTTATTTTGTAAAAATTAGTAAAGATACTGAGGGAAACGTTAAGCATTGTAAGGAGCCATGTAAATTAATGACAATAAATTGAGTTGTATAATTTGTCTACAAAATGAATTCCATGCATGTAGACAAACACGTCAACACAAAGTTTCAGACACCTAGAAAATAGTAGAACAGAAGTATAAATTTAGTCAAGTGTGTCTAAATAGAACACGTATAAAAGTTTCTAAACGCTCTGACATATTTGACACGTTTAGTTGGTAACAGACTGTCATATGTTTACCTTGCTCCATAGTTTCCACCTGGCCGTCCATAACTTTGTTCCTGACGCGTGAATTTTTAAATTGTGCTAATTTCTTTCTTTGTAAATAGAACGTTTCGAAAATCGAAATCTGGCGCGCTATTGTGTCCTGCGACCTCGGAAGCTAAAACACAAACAGCGCTGTAGCGCATCATCGCTGCGCGCTGTTTGCGCAGCCATGTAATCAATGCTCTATTTTCGCTATTTTCTCCCCACGTGGATGCATTTTTATTGGAATGCGCGTATTATTATTCAATATTAAATGTAATGTTCATCCAATTATTTAAAAAAATACGTGTAGAGAAAAAACTGTTGCATATGTGTGCAGGTAAACACGATAACTATCACTGATCATCTTTAGATTGTAAACT